AGTTTTTTAAAATAAAAAAAAAAAAGTTATCACTATTCTCCACCGAGAAATGGCTCGAGGCAAAGGACTTAGTATTGCGACGAGACGGTGCAGTAGTCACTGTACGAAAAGAAGGGCATTCAATTGGTATGATTACAAAAAATTTTTAATTATCCCATCAAGTAGTACAAAGTACGTTGGGTCCGTATGAAAAATCGAAAGTGACCACTGCGGTCGAGTATGTATTTGAGAATTTGGATTGTAGCGAAAGGAAACAGGAGAACCAGGACCTTACAGCACCAGAAATCCGTTCTGAATTAAACGGGACCAGACAGAATGCGGTATCGTTGACCACAGTGAAACGGAGACTATCCGAGTTCGGATTGAAAGGTGGAATAGCTGTGCGAAAACCACTGCAAATAAGGCTAAACGGTTGCAATGGGCTAAGGAACACGAAATTTGGGCAACTGATTCGAAAAATGTACTTTGGACCGATGAATAAAAATTTCACGTGCTCGGTACCAATCAACGAATTTTCACTCGCGGAATACCTTATGAAAAGCTGGTACCACAATTATCTGCAGAAGAAGGAAGAAGAAGGACTTTTGAAAAAGACGATTTGGCCACTTCAGAAACCCGATTTGAATCCAATTGAACTGTTATGGAATAAACTAGACATACATATCAGAGAAGTATGCCCATCTTCAAAAAAACAGTTGTGGCAATTGCTACAAGAAGGCTGGCAAAGTATCCCACCCGAAAAATTACAAAAACTTGCATAAAGAATGCCAAAAATATGCAAAATGGTAATCAGAAATAGGGGTGGATGCTTGGACAAAATGAGCACACATTGAAAAATTGCCAGTATTTTAAATAATTCGAACACTTTTATTCAAAGGTATGCTATGGTTTGAAAGTGCATGTATAAGCAAACTATACATAAAAAATAAAAAGACCGTTGATATTTAATAAGTGTGTTAATCAATAATGACCACTTTGCCAGCGAGTGTATCCAAACTTTTGGCCGGTAGTGTACAAGTTACAATGATACAAGTGATCAGTTACGATGAAATATAAATAATTGAAATGATCCATTCTCGACGTTGCGAGGATATTCCTTCTCGACTTTACACGGCGAGTCCGCGAGGGTGTCTTACAAGGGGAGCATCAGATATGGCAAATACAGAGTTCTATTTAAAAAAATTAACTTGACTTTCATATCTCCCCTACCATTACACCTGAAGAAAAATTATTTATATTACGCAATGTCCCCCTTGATACCAGTCAACTTTTGTAGGAACATTATTTTTGATAACTTCAACACCTCGTGAGATATTCCATCGTTTCCAGTTAAACGAAACACTCTGTATAAAAGAATTAGATTAGGTTAGAACATGGTTTAGGTTACACTCTGTCCAACGTAAGAGTAACCTCACGTTCGGACCAATTTTCGAACGATCTGCGCAGCTCCCACTACCGTAATGTCTCCCTCATTGTCCACCAGTTTCGATTCTCACATTGTCCACTGCGCCTGTTATCTAACTCGCAGTCAGTCGAGCGTATAACGCTAAGAGACCCGATTTTTCTTTTTTTAAGAGATTTCACGGCTCGACAGTTCATAATGGAATAATAACTTTTTTAATTTAACTCTTTTTTATCTGAAAATTTTTTTAACATATTAGTGAGATTTTTCTGATGAAAATGAGATCAAGCACGATATAATTTGAACAACATTTACTTATTGTTACTTATTGAGTGATTAATTTCATTTCATAATATATCGCTTTGGATGAATTGCAAAAACGAATTGCTAGAAAAATATAATAAATATCTGTACATATTGTCCGTCGAATGTGGAGGGAGAGACACCGTTTGGTTGCCAATTGTAGAATCGGCCTACCGTTTGGCTGCCAATTACAGAATCGGCCTACCGTTTGGTGGACTGTCTGGGGAAAAGGGTTACATTCGGGTAATTTATCAGAAACTTGTAGCCAAGATATATTTTGATCAAAATTACACTGTGTCAGATTTAGAAAATACATTTCAGTGTATTTATTGTGTCAGAAATATTCGGAGCGCAAAATTATTCAATCGTTTTCCATTTATTGCAAATATATATATTAATTTTTATAGGACTGTGACTGCGCGGTGTAAACGTCGTTTGCCAAAGTACGCGTCCATGGTTTTACAAAGAGTGAGGGCGGGTCGTTTTGGAAGATTTCCTCCACGTGAAAAAAAAAAAGGATTCACTCACAATTCTCCAGGAATAGCAAATTAAAAGTAAGTTATGAAACATACGGAGAATATATTGAAATTGCACGCTAAACTTCAAACGCGTTTTTCTCGAAACAGTGTTTTACGAATTGGCTTATATGATTTCTCAAAACTGGATTATCCGATCTCTTTCAAATTTGGCGCGCATATAAAGTAGGAGTACCTTTATCGTCCGTACCAAAATAATGTCAATATTTACAATAGTTTTTATTTTCTGGCTTGAAGAAGTAAAAATTTTTATTGAATAAATAGTTTTTTGACTTCAAATAGCTGCCATTTTAACAGGACACATTTTATATGTTTCATTTTGGTACGGGCTATAGCCACACTCATACAGATTAAGATTATCTTTGATTTTTTCGTTTCAGATGAATACAATCGCTTGAATGATGTAAGCCATCCAAAATGACACATTACGGGAAACATGTAATAACATGAATAAAAGTAAAGATAAATGCATAAAAATTACACAGTATATTTTTGAAATAATACCTAAACTGTATACAAAACAATAAGTTTCTTGGACGATAACAATTCGATAAATTTCTCTCCTAAAAATCACCAAACAACGACGATTCTAATGAAGAGTACCCCACATAAAAAGACAAAGTTATACTGGTGTCCCAATATTTTTGTGACCGACTGTATGTCCAAAATGAGTGATTTGCCTTATTAGGAACAACGACAATAAAGCACCCAAAACCAGCATGCTCGTTGTTATTGACTCTTCGAAAATCGAAAAAATAAATCCCCCTCCAACAATACTTATAGCAAACAGTCTAATCTAGTTTGTACCAAATCCGATTTGTTGTTATGTTTATCAAATGTTTATAAAAAACAAAATTAGTTTAGTCTTTCCAACTAGTTTCTACTATATTTCCAAATAACTATTGGGGATTCATTAGACCTCACGCGGCCGTGAAGATTTCTAAATGTAATAAGAGATTAAAAAATAAAATGTTCTTATACTGTTGCAAACTATATTCACAAAATACAAATATGCAGACTATAGCAAAAATGAATATGCCTTACAATTAGTGCAATTCAATCTAATCGATGCTCGGTTTTACCGACTTTGTATCGAAGTATACATAGAAACGTAAGATACCCGATCGTTATGCCTCATATTCGTTCTTATGTACAAATTATGGGCATTATTTTGAATGTACATATAACTTAACAATTCTTCCATAGCCCAATATGATGAAAGTCATTTAAACGGATATACGCCCCCCTCCCACATTTAGGTCAACTCTCTGAGTTTCCCTTATACTCCCTTTCACTATTGCGCTGTGAAATTTATACGCATGCTTCTTGACACACTTACTAAAGCCACAGCAGCCAACATTATTGAACTATAACAAAAATTAATCGTCACTGCTTTAATAACCTTTGCCAGAAGAAAATTACTAAAGTACAAAGAAAAGGGAACAGTTTAAATCAAATCAAATTCAATTACCTATGAAAATAGTAATTTACATTTCTAATTATTATCTAATATCTTAAAGTATTTTAATTTTAAACAGTAAGAAAATCTTAATTAATTACATTCACAGTATGAATCATTTGTAAAAAAAACAAAAGCATAACATAATTTGCATATAATTTATACAATGACTATTATGTAAATGTAAAAATCAAATGAAGCATAAATATGACATATTTTTATTTTATTTTGAAATCAGAAACTATAAGACGCATATTCATTGGAATAGAATTAATCATGATAATTCACTCATATACAAAAATCAAATTTATCACAAAAAATATGGAATATACGCTAAAAAGATTTGTATAAAAAGGGTCACAAATTAAATGAGTAAATCAACGAATGCACTGTTATAATTTATTACTTAAAATTACATAAGAATTATAGTTTTCTTTAGTAATTATAAAGAATGTGGTTTAAAACAAAATATTCAAATAAAAAGTAACATTACTCAAAAAATACTCATTATATTTAACTTAGTGGTTCTATACACCTTTCAATTTCTTCTTAAATATACATATTGGTGAAGAACAAAAATTTCTTGCGCTTTATAAAATATGTTATTTCTATTACATTTTATTTCAATACTTTGCAAAGTGTCCTAATATATTTCTAGCTCTACATAGATGAAAAAAAATTTAACTTATTAATAAAAGAAATGTATTCAATATTGTTTCTGTTTCCATAATTCACAAATAAAGAAATTTGTAAATTTATGTCTGGAGAACATTAGTTTCTTAAAATATCCACATATAAATTTTTGTAAACATTATTAGAATATCTTATAGCCAAAAAGGATGCAAATGTACCAGCACAAAATTTTGCATCTACCTAGAATTACGTATGGCAATAACCTTATGTAACTTACAATAAAATATATACAGAATGTGTTCCTCTTTCTAGATCCATACAGAGGAATATATGTCATAAATAATAAAAATTTGGAATATTTAACTATAACTACAATTGCATACACATACTATATACATGTTTGCTTGTTAATAAATAAAGAATATAAATAGTTAAAAAGGAGCATTGAATTTTAATTCAAGAAGAAAAGTATCTAATAATTCATGAAAAATATTTGTGTGAAGAGGACATGCAACTAAGAAGTAAATACAAGTAACAAGTATGTTTTTCATTTAGAATAATAATGGACAAGTTATTAATACAATGTATATCATACATACATATACAGTATACATATCAAATTTTTACCATATGTACATAACATATGTATATATATATATACATATGTATATATACACACACACAAAATATATACAATAGAGTTCCCTATTATGTGTACACAGTACAGCAAACTTAAAAATGTTTAATTGTGTATTTCTTTGAAGTAAGTAGATTTGACTTCCTCTTTATTCATTAGATACATTCGGTGCTTTTGTTATTATATATCTTTTTAAATTACAAAATGTTTAATGCTACTGAAAATTTACACAATTCAAACTATTTAAATCATTTTCAATAGCATACCACGTAGATGCGATAACAGAAAAGAATTATAGAGACGTATAAATATCAAATAATTTCTATTGTTAAACAAAACAAATTGTAACACGACTATTTCGTTTTAAAAACGTGACAAAAAATTCCTTCTTTTCATTTTTGTTTACACCTAATTTGATAATTCTTATAAATTATTTATCCATACGGAGATCCGTTACCTTACGTCATTCCCATGACCCGTTTCTGCTTCCACCAGTAGTTTCAATTCTTACGTCTGCCTCTAAAGCTGTAGTCTACATTCTTCAACCAAATATGAATGACATCTTCCACTTCATTTCATGTGATCACACTACAAACACGTTTTATTGCTATCTATCCTTTAAGCAACTCGTGCACACTGTGATACACTAAATAATTAACCAATTTTCATAACCTTAATCTTATAGATAACTACTGCCAATACACATATCAATCAACAATAAATGAAATAAGAAAATTTTTCGCACATCAGATTTATGTTAACGAAAGCAAACCAACAATATTTATATATTTTCACTTTCAAACAAAGAAAGTATTGGCTAGCACCGAGGACCGAACAACATAACATTTACACTACGCGTGCAACCTAGCGACTGAAACGCCACAAATAGCATATACTTAATTTGACGTCACCATGCCCCGCTCTCTCTTTCTCATTCTTCTGTTGGGTTTCTCTCTCTAACATTAAAAGCTCCACCTGTTAAACGCTCCCTTCTTTTTTACATTTTTAACAATCCTTTGTGTACTACCTCTTTTCTGTTGGCTGATCAGTGAGTTCATTTATTTCGTTTTACGCGTAATCTACGCACAGTATTGTGGATAACCTCGTATCTTCTATTAACTTAGGTTATGTATGTAGGTTTACTTTTATTTTAATTCATTAATGGATTTAATTTATTAATACAGCCTATTGAATATAATATTGGAATTATGGCATGTAATTTTCTTTTAATATTTTTCAGTATAGTATGAAATGTAACAAATGTAAAAAATATAATTTGATGAGGTTACGAATTATTTTTAAATAGTATAGATAAAAGTTGTTTATTCTTTAATTCATGAATATAGGTAAAACAATATGTTTTATATTATTATTATTTGTACTCTAATACGTGAAAGTATATACATATACTATACTGTAATAGAGTTTTATTTTAAGAAAGTATAAA